ATATATATATATATATACTATGTATATGTATAATTGTAACTAACATTATGGTTTCGAAAAGAAAGATTTCCTCGAATTTTTCGTGACAATACTGAAGAGGTTGACTTCGGAGAGAACTACTGCCAAAGCCGCACAAGAGCATACAGCTTCAATTTTAAAAGTTTTTGACTTTTCTTGTGTTGTCTTCGTGAAGAGAGAACGCTTTCATCAATTAGAAACGTTATGGTAGAAAAATGGTATAAAAAAACCACTAGTAATATTTAAGCGACGACACGCGGAGTACGATTAAAAAATTGTTTCGATACAGTTGCCAAGTGAACCAATATATTCTTTTTTTCTTTTTTTCTTTCGCATGTAATATAGTTTGGTTGCGATATTATTAAATTGTCTTAAAAGTCTGCGAGAAAAAAATATTCTTGCTTTTATCCAAAAATATCCATATTTGGATAAAACAGACGTTATTATAAAATTAAAAAATATTGATTAATTAATCTGACTTTCTTTCAAAGCTCGCTAATATTTTCTGAACATAAAATAATTAGACGAATATCTGATTAATAAATTATTCTTTCCGATGTATTTCTAGCATTGCACGCTTCGAGGACGGTATAAATTCGGAAACAAGATCCCACAGTTCGCATCGTGTGACTTGCTGACAAAAATAATTTGTAATATGCGTGTAATATTAATATACAAACTAATAAAATTTTCAATGCTTTAAATAATCGCAGTATTCGCAATACAAAAATCGTAATAATTTAGTGTCACGTAGAAAAAGTATTATTATTTTTGCACATTAAAAAATTATAATATATTTTCCGTAAAGATATTTATACTCACAACAATTGCAAACATATTCACAATTGCTGTGAGTATATAAAAATATTTTTGCACAATTTAATGCCCGATGAACCAGTATCCGGTTAAACCTGTTAGAAAATCAAATACATAAATTATTTTGTGCACGTATTATCACGTTGTAGTTATAAAAGAAAAAACTAGTCCCTCCGCAATCAAGCCTCTCGCCCCAAAGTCTAATAACTGATTCACCGATTGATAAATAATAATAATAATAATAATGAGATATAACAAAGCAAAGCGAATTAATTGATATAAAACTATTCGATACATTACGAAACTAATAAATTAATAATAGTATATTTTGGAGAGACTTCTCAAAGTCAAATACAAATTTTCGAATTTTATTGATTATCGAAAGTTTTTATCGTGATTTCGCAATTTCTTGCGATAAGAAAGCGAATAAGAAAAATGCGAACGGTTATAAGAAGCGATAGCAAAGTCACGTGCACAAAATCAAATTTTCAATTTTTTAAAAATGAAAAAACGATTTTACGACGAATGATTTTGTGCGGGATTCGTTGCGTAAAACAACACGCAACAATTACTACATATTATACGGTTCGCGTTTTGCTTTCTTCCGGATCCGATAATCGTCATTCGTAAAAATCTGGTGTTATGCAGTCTTCTATACAGTATTTAGCATCTCGAATATCAAAAAACGAGATAGGTCATTTTTTGTTTTCTAAGAGAATTCAATTATGTTTAATAACCGAATTTCACTAATATCTAAACATTAGAAACGCACGTGGCCCGAATACGTTATTAGATGCAACAGATAGGCAGATTTTTTATTACAATATAGTTATCAAAATTTCAAGAGAAGAAAATTAATCTGCAAAAGTCAAATAATTTTATTTGACTTTTGTATGCACAAGAAATGTGCAGATTTCGAAAATCAGAAATATGAGAAAAGCCAAGAACGCGACAAAGCTTTTCCTCTAAGGCAAAATTTCTACGTGCGTTCCTAAGGTCAACGTGCATTCTTAATGCTAAACGAATGAATTCATACATGTTTTGCTGCCAGATTTATTGACGTGATATAGACGGGTGTACATCTGAACCTTGATGGAGCGCGAGTTTAATTATAAATCAAAAATATAAGAAAATGTGCCTAGAGCTTTATACGTTCGTCAATAAAATTATTAAATCTGCAAATAGCGCGAAAATTTGCGCATAGTCTCTCATGATCGAATATAAATGCATCGCGCTAATAAATATTTCCTTAAAAAACGCAAGAGAATAATAGTTTCTCCATGGGATAAGCTCGCACAAATTATATCTGACAGAATTGTTAATAAATTTAACAATTATACATAAAATCAAAAGCTATAAATTAGTTATGTTTTAATGAGATAAGTTGAGAGACATAGCGATAAAACTAAATGGATACTCCACTTGATATAAGTAAAAGTTTAATAATTTTCTTCTATTACAGATAAAAGTTTAATAATTTTCCTCTATAAATCGTTTCCTTCTTAGGAAATAAAGATTACAAAAAAATCCAGATAAAATTACATATAACAAAAATTACTCTCGATATGACACTTCGAAAGAAAATAAATTTAAAAAAATAATACAATGGAGACAGAGAAAATCATTATTTTCTGAATGCATAGTAGTATCCATTCAATTTTTTCCCTGTGTATAATGGAAAATATTAAGGCTCCATGTAATCATTAATTACCGCGAGATGTATGCTAACGAGTCATCATTAGCAAATTCCTCGAAGCGTTCGCTACAAAAGAAAAAACAGATTCGAAACTAAAACGGAAGCATTCGTTTGATCGTCATTATCGTCTTCGTTTCCAAGCCAAAGAGATACACATGTTACGTTAGAAAATCACATTTTATCTCGGATGGATAAGTATTGGATAAATTATGAAATATTCAAATTTAATTAGTCGGGCAACCAGTCTCTCGTCTGTTTTACATTCACCCTTGTGAAAAGACTGTGATGATTCTCATCTTCCTCGCTTCATTCTTTTCTTCTATCATGTTATATATATTTATGAGTTATAAAGATAAAAAAAAGATTAATTACCGCAATAGAAAAAATGTCACATAATACAATTCCTTTACACTTCTCAAAATCATAGTTGCTCTTGAATTTACTATTAATGACATTTAGATTACTAAGCATACCAAAGAAAAAGATTTGTTTCTTTTGCTTATGTATTGTTCGGCAAATCAATAATATTTTTCGTTACTAAATCATCAATAAATAATCTGCTGTATATTAGCGATGGAAACGAAGACGAAAGCGAAGTTTGCGATTCCAAAACTGTATGTTCATCTACAAAAGTTTCTGTCAAAAATAATGACTGCAGAATTTTTATCGTTTTTTAGATAGATATTACAATTTACTTAATGTCGAATACTTTTCTCAAAGTATTCGACAATATCTCTTACAGATATCCGTAACAAATATTTAAAAAATTTTTCTGAACTTTTTTTGACTTATGAATTCGCAAATGTGACTCGAATTTTAGAATCGCATCCTTCGAATAACTTGTACATTATAAATATTTTTCCGCATTTCTCTGTCGTCTTACGCCAATAGATCCCGCTTTTCGCTTTCGTCGAGAGTACGCCATACACACACACTATCGTTTATTTCTATAAGCTTGTATAAAAAAACGAACCCTTTTTGTTTGTTCTTTTCTTTCCTTTTTTTATCATTTTCGTCGTTTTGTACACCAAGGACGAGTGAGTGCATGAAGCAAACTATATTGGGACATGAATCCTGAATAAATACTTAATATTACAACAAAATTTTAAGTATTCTTCGTAAATGTCACCGCTATATAGTTTGTAAGAAAATAAGATATTTTACTTGAAGATTTTTATATACAGATATTACAAACAACGTTTCGTAATGCGTAGGCAATGCGTCCTACTACTCTATTATTATACATACTGCAGGGGAGGATCTATACGAATCCGTCCTCTATCGAATTCGATTCGTGTCGTCTGTCAAATTTTGTGGACCTTCGATATTTGATATCGCTTCTTAAAAGCGAGTAATTGCCGCTTATATCGATAATACTGACCTAAAACTTTCCGATATACTTGAAACATGAAATTTTCTGTTATGTTTTAATGTACTTTTTCAATACCATTCTTTCTTTTTGCTGAAAATAATTAAGATTAAATTTATTTGAATAATATCAATAATTTAATATAAATTTATACATAATGATTACATATATTGTATAAATAATATATTGTATAAACATTTAAAATATGACTTTAATAAGATAATAGATGTTAGTACTATATCAATATTATGATTGAAATATCTTTCACATAAATTTTGTTATAATATAAATTGTTCTATTACGATAATTTATTAAATTAATATTAGACCATAGATTAAGATTTTTTTTCTTAAGTTTATACTATCAAACGTATCCGCAGCAATTTATTTTTCTATTTTTTTTTTAAATATTGCAAATATTAATATGAATAAATATGAATGTATCGTAATCATCACAAAAATTAGATTATTTTTGTAGATGAAACTATTTTAATTTCATCAAATTTTGAAACAAACATTATAAATTTTATTTATTTATGAATCATCGAAAGAAATTTTATCTAAGTACTAATAAGTTAGCATCATCGAAATAAGCAGCACTTACTTTATTTAAATTCAATTTGAAAAGGAAAGAAGAGGAAATAATGATAAATTAGATTAATTTCGCTGAAACTGCAATTTTTGTAGTCTTTCTTTTCGTTAATTTCTTATTCCATAAAAAAAAATTAATTAATCATTATTACGTGATATTATTATTTACAGATGAATTTTGTTCGAATGTAATTTATTGTACTTGATTTCTTTCGGAGAACTTGGTTCGTATTTTCTCGGATCTTTTAGGATTTTCCATGTTTCTCGCCTTTTGCGTCATTTTGATGGAATCCAGAATCTCGTTTGTCAAGAATGTATTGAATGGCATATTTTGACGGAAAAGAAACGAAAGCCAATTTGAACGAACCATGTTCTCGAGCTGATCGCACAAAATATTTAACGAGCCGATCTTGCTAACAACGGCATGACGAATCAATAAACCTCACAGACGCCCGCCGTTTCGGCCAACAACACGCTAATCCTACTCAATGTTCGATCATCGCACTTAAAAATCTCTGGTTTCCCTCTCCCTCCCCCCCTCTCTCTCTCGCACACATGCATTCCCACATAGCAGTTATATATAGTCTCTCTATGGAGTTTCTTGACGGAACGGTACCTTCGCAGAAACCGTTTACGAAGTCGTTTCATAACTTCGATGACCTGGGGGGAAAAAGTCGTTTTGGTTGACGTGAGAAAGGGGTAATATTGCGCTGAAATAGCGTCCGAATTTTGGCTATGTAGAACAAGAGTTATTCCAGCCGACCGATCACACGCACACACCATCACGAACATTTATATACACACACACACACACACAGGACGAAGATACCACCGCACTCACACTAGGAAGTCAGGGTCACTGCAGTCATCGCCGCTGTCGCTGCTGTCGGAGATTCTTCTCCTCTTCTTCTTCTTGTGCTTTCTTACTGACTTGTCTGTCTTGTGTGCGCGGTGTGATTCCCGCTTCCGGTGTGACTCCCTTGCTTCCGGATTAGTGTGTATCGTCAGCTTCGGCACCCTCGGCGTCGTCGCTGCTACTGTCGTCGTCGCTGTTGGCGACACAATTACCGAATTATTCGGATGCTCCATCGGAGCGGTCAGATTCGATTGCAACGGTAACTGAAACTGTTGCTGACCAGCTGCGATGACCAGAGAGGCGGCATCTCCCATGACGGCACCGTCCGTTATCGTCCTGTTGCCGCTAGCCTCGGGATGTTGTGGTATCCTTGCCATGTGCGGATTCTCTGCACTATGCTTTCCACCGCCACTAGTATCGGCAGCATCGTTGCCATCGTCGTCTGGTTCCTCGGGATCAAATTTAAGCATCAGTAGCTTGAAGTCCAGATACTCTTTCACGAGCTTCTTCCTGCCTTTCGCGTCCAGTTCCTTGTTGACATTCGTCACACCTTCCCGCAACTTGTACAACGTAGCCTTGGGTTCGAAAAGTAGATTGCTCTTGCGATTTACTGTCTTTTCATAGACTTTGGCCGCTTCCGATGGTGAATATTGACCGATTTTCGCATCGGAAAAACCATAAAGATCTTTAAGATGTTGCCGAAGCGTTAGTAAAAGCAAAAAGCCTTGACTGGCGGTAATATACTCCCTGAGCAAAGTGGTATCGTTTGGTAACCTGGCCAAAATAGCTTCTTCATCCTCTTCATCATCCTCTTCGTCCTCCAAGGCCGATAACAACTGATGTGATTGACCGTCTGGTCCCATCACCGTCGTTTGTCCCGTCAGCTGACCTGTCGATTGCCCCAACATATGCCTGGATTGTCCAGATTGTCCCGCACTGTTCTCTTTAGGCAGCAGAGCCTCTTTAAAAGACTGTAATAGATTTGTTCCAGACATAGAAATAATAATGTCAATGTGATGGATCTTGTACTTGATATGTAAAGTAGGCGAGATTGTCCGCCAAGTATAGCATCTGCGATAGACTAGTTTTAGCAGTCTCGTCGAAGTGCTTGAGAAAAGACAACACGATCGCTCGCCTTTGCTGTTTCGTGTTGCGCAAAATTGTATAGAGAAAACCGTTGAGCGCGCCTGGAAATTCACCTTCCTTCGTTCGCATACCTCTCGTAATGCTGTTCTGTAGAATTTGCTGCAACCGGTAGCTCAATTTGATGCCAAATTGCGATTTCATGTGAATGAAGCCTGGGTATTTCTTTTCGATATCCTGTAACTGTTTATCCGCGCTGTGGCTTACAATTTTTTCGCAGTCGGTGCTCATGCAGATCAAATAGGGTACTATCTGGACGGGATGTACCAGACCCTGCGCCAGGATCAACTGAATAACTTTGAGAGCCGCATGTCGTACGCTCACGTTGGCGTGCAGAAAAGACTCAAGGATCTCTTTAATATAGAGTTGAATAACAGTGCTCGCCATACCCGACGATACGTCACCCATTTCCTTCAAATTCTCCTGTTTAGACAACTTTGCCCACTCTAAATCCTGCTTGATCATCCTCTTCTCCTCTTCTTGCAGATATACTTCAATATTATTAAGCACTTGAATTCTCATATGAACCAGTGCATACTCCGATGTGAGCAAGTTATGGTAGAGTTCTTTCAATTCCGGTAACATCATAAATTCATAATGTCGTATGCAGAGAGAACCAATGGCCGATAGCGTAAAGTGTCGAATATCATCATTATCCAAGTGAACGAAATAACTAAGTGTCTCGAAGACTTGATCCTTGATGTTATCTGCCAAGCCTTCTATCACCTCTGGATCCATAAAGTTAAAATGACGCAGCAATAAGCCGACCGTGAAGAGCGCTCGTCGGAAAAACGGTCTGCATCTTATTAACATGGGATTACTTGGGTCCTTTTCGTAAAACGATTTGTACTCCGTTAAATGTCCATAGTATTTCTTAAAGCAATCTCGTATCAGCTTGTAGTTCCGCGTGACATTATTAACTACAGAACCTAGACATGATAAACAGCTTGCGACCACTGATCTGTCATGCTGCAAGATTAATTTTACTGAATCTTCTTCTAACTGTGCCAAAAAAGTTTCACTAGGATGTTCCATTAGAGGCACCACTAATTCGAGCGTGTGTGCAACACTGCTGATGATCTGATAATCGCCCTGTGTTTGACATTTTAAACTCAGATAAGGCTGTAGAGTGATCGCATGATTGACCAGTAATCGAGGCCGGATCTTCGCGAACAGATGAAGCGTTGTCAGGCACGCAACCAATCTCTGTGACGAGCCTTTCTTTTCTGATTTCTCCGAGTCTAGATTTGTCTCTTCTAACCGTAATACGTTCTCGATCAGGCAGTCCACGATCTGCTTGCACGCAGTCAACAAAGCTCGTGGCGGCTCTGTCTGCATTTTTGTGCTATCATCCTTATCCTCCTTCGGCTTAAACAAACTTACCAAAAGCTGCTCAAACCACTCAAGTCCCATATCCTTGCTAGTTGCTACAACGTCCGTGATATTCATTACTTTCCTCAACAGCGATTCTGTGTCAAGAGAAGGACGCTCACTTACTGGAGTAAACCACATGTTTTGGAAAACTTCCATGACGAGTTTCCGAATGCCCTCCTCGTCGTTCACTCTCCTTATCATCTTCACGCATATTTCCGGGATTTTCGGGAAATCTGGACACTCCATGCAGATATCTTTGAGAATCTTGATAACACGCTTTCGGACGCTCACGCCAGTATCCAAAATTCTTGCTGACAGCATGTCATAATATTTATCAATCAGTTCTGGTCTACTCAAAACAAATTTTCCTACCAAGTCAACCGCTGCTTCTCGCACTGACGTTGAATGATCGAGGAATGAGTGCTTCACACCTAGCTGCATGTCCACTCTTGCTAGCACGCTCGAATCAGCCTCGACAATCATCGTGAGGCACTTCATTGCCTTGGTTCTAATAGCAATTGATGATTCCGTCAGTACATGAAGAATCTGTTTTAAATATTTATCGAAACTCTGCGAGAATGGTCTCTTGGATGCGAGATACTGCGAGATTAGTTCCGCGGAATTATAATCAATGTATGTCTGAAGAATGTCCGGTTTCGTTCCTGTACTACTTAATCTTATTCTACTGATAATGTACTTTTTCTTCTCTTCTATAATTCGATAAGCTTCCGAATTTTTCTGCTCGTTATTGTCGTTCTCGTCTGGATCTTGCTCATCCAATTCTGACTCGGTGTCCTGATCGCTGCTATGATGCCGATTTTTCTTCTTTGTCCGTTTCTTGTTTATCTTCTTGCTTGGACTGTTTTTCGGCTGACCCACTCGGGATTTCTCCATCGCGCAATCCCGATACCATTGGGCCAGATAGAAGTAACGCGCGTATCCAAGAGCCGAATCCTTCGTCCCATTGACGGCCAGATAATCCAGAAGTACTTTCTGCAAAAACACGGTCCTCTCTTCGTCCTCACTCAATCCTACAATATCTTTGTCCTTTATCTGATCGTAATCCGAGTCCTTTTGTTGCTCGAGCTTGATGTCTCGTATAATTTGATCAATAGTTGATAATTTGCAATGTGAACTGACAGCATCCTTACGTAACCTAGCCGCTACCACGCCAAGATAATCGATGGAGGCTACACGAAGTGACATATCAGAGCTCTTATTAGAAAAATGTCCAACTAATAGGTTTCCGAGAAGACTCAATAGCAATTCGGCAGCAGGCCACTCAGGTTTATTCACCGTCGCTAATAAATCTTGAACGAAATTCTCAAACAATGGTCTATAATCAATCTCCTCACCCTTATTACCGCATTTGTTGAGAAATACCGTTAAAAAATTCCCAGCTATTCTGGTGGCAGTCTCATATCTATTGATGATAAGGACGTCAGCGTCTACATGACTGGATCTTTTCTCATCGTCCTCCTTCGATTTGGAATCTGATAGAACTACCACGCACTGGATAAGCTGCAGGACCAACGCAGTCAACATCTGTATGTAATCCTCAGAGTTGAGCCTATACGTGCGTAAACTCCTTTTGCTGCTGGGTAGTCTCGCAATTGACGCCAAGATGTCATCCAATAATAATCTCCTATGTTTCTCGTACTTTGTGAATATTACAGTAACGAGTTTCAATGCGCTCAACTGAAGATCGCTTACCGATTCAACGAAAAACGGTGCAACACCTAACGATGATGCATGCAGAACACTCGTGTCTGTTAGAACCTGTATATTTAATAGCTCAGCCAAAAGACCTACCAGTTCATGCATCTTGTTGTAAACCTGCAGAATGTTCTTTTCGCGTACTTCCTTCGTATGAAATCGTCTTTTCCGTACAGAATTATAATTGTCAGCCTTGTTCTTCGTATCTATTTTATATACGGGATCAAAAGAGGGATAAATCGTGTTCTGTAACTGAAACTTCATGAAAAGAACTATTCGGTCAATCACATCTTCCAAGTAGACTGTCTTCGGCATGTTGCTAGAGGTCATAATGTGCAGCGCGATCAATGACGCATCCACGGCACGCTGCACCCGTTCCATCGCCAATTGCATCCATAGCCGTCCTTCTTCGACGTCATCATCTGGATCCACGAGTGGTGACACTCTCGCTCCGTCTCGTATGTTCTTTTCCAAGATGTTCAACAGCCTTATCAATTTATCTGTAGGTATTGACTCCATAGCACCCAATGTTTTGAGTTTGGCTGCTTCTGTACAAAGATCATGCAATTGATACTTGGGAATAAGCATTTCCGCAAGCACTTCACCATCATCCTCCATCTCGACGTTTGTCATAAAATCTTCAGTATTCTCAAAAATCGTCTCTATGGTAGAGTTAAATCGTTGATAAGTATTGGTCTCCATTAATTCCTCCACGCTCAATTTGGCTAACACAGGCACTAATTTCTTCTCAATCTTGCGTATTTTTGGTTTTGTGGGCGAATACGATGTATCTCGTTTATCATCTTCCTCGTCGTGTTCCTCGTTCAGTATCCTTTTCCTGGCGAATAATGGATTTCGATGGAAAAGCCTGCGGCTTCTGTCATCGCTTTTCCGCCGCTCCGCTTTCTCTTTCTCTCGTTGCACCTGCCGCTCTTTCGCGCGAGCTTTAAAATACTTATTGTTCTTACCGATTTCCTCCTCGCTCTCGGAATCAGTTTTTGATGCGTCCTCACGATTGGAAATGCCCATTTTCGCCGCGCGACTCGGCGATTTCTCTGCAAACGCCGCCAGACTCTTCTGCATAAGCGCCTGATCAGCCAACGATAATCTATTTAACATAACAATGGGCTCCTTCAGTTTTTCTGTTCCTGCAAGTTTCATACTCTTCTCTGAGTTATTGTTTTGTTGATGTTGCTGTATATTGGGTGCCATGCTAGTTGCAGCTGGATCTAAAGCATTAACCATATCAGTGGCGTGTACATTCGGATAGGACGTGGTCTGAGAAGTCGATAATAAATGTTGTATCGTATGATCGACGCTTTGCTTCGGATCGATATTGTCCATCGGCAAATCAATATCGGCAAGTCCGGTTACCGGGTCAAGAAGGAACTGCTGATTCTCCTGTACTGAATTATCAATGTCCAACGATTGACTGCCGCCTAATGCATGATGGACTTGTTGATTTATCATAGGATCATAAAGATTTTGCTGCATACTCATGGCCTGATGTTGTTGCAGAGGCACGTTACGCATTGGAGATGTCATGTGCATATTGTGTTGCGGTGTCATACCAGCCATGTTATGCTGAGGTGTCATATTGGTGAGAGATGCCAGTGGTGCATTGGGAGAGTTCATGTGAGCCGGCGAGTACATGTTCGGTTGAAGGGTTACGTTTGATAAAGGATTTATACAGTTTGCGTCCTCTTGCATGTGCTGAGGCGTAGTCAACGTTCTCGTTTGTTCGGTTATAACGGTGCCTCTGGGCGATGGAGAAGGCACGGCGAAGGGAGACATCTGCGAAATATCTGCATGATTCTGTGGAGTAATCGGCATCCGTGGATGTTGCGCGTGAGTAATGACGCTGACCATCGGCGGCGGAAGTACGGACCTGGCTGCTGCGGAATGAGCCGGACTACCTTGGGGCGTTTGCCTGGAGCCCGAAGAGCTCGAGTAGGACGGCGAGAAATGACCATAACTCGCCGGCGATTGATTAGCGTGCAACATAGGCACACCTTGCGTCCAGTTTCTTGGAGAATTATGCTGGGTTCCTCTGAATACGTCAGGATTTATCTGCAAGATCGCCTTGAGCAATTCAGGCGTGTCTTGCTCATTTTCCAGCGATTGTTCGGTATTCGGATAATTATCCTTGAGTTCAATGTGATCCGACGATGTCTGCGACAGTGACATTATCAGCTGCGGCACGAGATTCTCATCACGGACACTTAGCAATATTTGTGCCTCCTCCGCTACTCGTGGATGAAACAGTAGCGACTTGTTAGTCAGTGTCTGTGGCAGCGGAGTCGGTAGAGGCATTTCAGGTAGCAAGTCTGTGAGGCTCGCGATACCAGCGAGGGTAGTTATTGGCACACTTGGTACAACCCCATTCATTTTGAGTTTGATTCGTTCTGGCATTACAGCCTGGACAAAAAAAAAAGAGAATCAAAATCAGTTTTAGTATTCTTAAGATTCCTTGCCTTGTGGGACAATACAATATTCTGAACACTGCACAGACATGCTATGAGTACTTTCTTACGATATGCAGTAAATATAAATCAACTGAACATATCTAAATACACTGTATCCACAAATGTCTAAATAAATCATTGTTAAAATTTGCTCACTACATCTCAAGACATACTGACACAAATGTTTCACCGTTGAACAGAGCAGTTTCTAATCCTCTTTGAAGGACACTAGCACTAGGTGAATATTGGGAACTCAACAAAGTCTCTTTTAAGTTCCCATGTTGCAAACAAAAGTTTCAACCAAATTTTGATGAAGCCCGTGGATCCTCCAATAAACAATCCATGTTTATTAGCACTTTGTTATCCTACAACAAAAATTTCATTTATATAGTCACTTTTTAAAATATATTGTAATATTTTAAATACCTTTAAAAATTAGATATTAAAAAAAAAATAAAAAGAGAAAATATTATATTAAATAAAATTACATGCTAAAATGAAAATAATACATATAAAATTAATTCTGAAGAGAAATGAGAGTAATTGAGAGCAAACGCAGTTAATTTTAGTATCTATTAACATATTATTATATAAAAGTAATCATTTCATAGTTTCTTGGTTAACGTTGCATTGTTAACTAAGAAACTGTGTATAAAATTATTACTTTTATGTAATAATATGTTAATAGATATATAGATAAAATTAACTGCGTTTGCTCTCAATAAAATTAATTCTCAAAGAATTAATTTTAACAAATCTGAGAGCCAAAGATTAAATTAAATATTTGTATCTAATTCGTAAAAAAAATATATAAATTACATATAAATTAATATACATAAAAAAAAAACAACTAACCTAAAATTAAAATGTTTTACGACACATGTAATTTATATTACTGTAACCAAATATTTTCTTATTTAAAAGTAAATATTACATACAATTTTTAAAAATATTAAAAAACTGTTTTATACATTTTTCATAAAAACCAGAATTATTTATTACATTATATCATTTTCTAAATTATTTATTATATAAAAATTAAATGTTCTCAAATGTTTAAGTTGTTGATACATGAAATTATAATATACAAAAGAAGAGATGTACTTTACACTTTACGATGTAAAACAAGTTCATATTACGTTAATACAATTCACATGTAACATTCGTAGAATAAATACAGGACAAATCACCATTTTATTTAAAAAAACATAAGCATTGAAAAATTCTATCCGAAAAAATTAATTCATTAACTTCTCATAAAAAAAATCCTACATATTTGCTACATATTTATAAAATAACCAATCATTACATAAAAACTCAATATGATCAGCTGATACACTGAATGAATCAGAATTTCCAATAACATGGTAAAACCGCACATTGTAGAGTACTACACAACATTCATTAACCTGAATCCACTGCTTTTCCAAGATCATACCAATATAAATAACCATCATGTAGCATAGTATATTCCTTTACCTTCTCTGAATGAATGTCTACCATCCAACGTCGTGTATACTTATTCTCGAAGGGACCACGCGAGCAAGTATAACAACACAATGCAGAGGAAGGGGGGGCTAGAGGGGGCGAGGGGAAGGGAGGGGGGAAAATCGCGAGATCCTGCGGACGATGAACGTTGAACTCTGGTGGGCAGGCAAGAGAAATTTCGCCGGGTAGGAGAACTCTCGCGCGGAAAAGCAGCCGTTGCGTGATGCAGGACACAGCGCTTCGTATCACGGTAGACGCGGACACGGCCGCGGCCGCGCGGCGCGACAGCACCGTGCCCGCTCCGCTTACCCGGGACTATTTACGTCGCTCTCCGTTCCGTCCGCGGCTGGTTTTGGCGGGAGGCCGGGCGCCGTATCGCGGCTCCGCGTCGCTCACAGTCACCGGCAGATCCTCAGGTCACGTCGTGACGGCTGGTGGCGTCAGCTGGCTGTCGCAAAGACTCACCGCGGTTAACACCGTCGTCCGGGGAATGCTCGTTCAATTGTCATCCGCGGACCACCGCGGTTTGGCCTACTTGGTTGGACGCGTTTTCACGTCGGCCACGGCGGGCCGCGGTCACGACTCGCGAGCACGACACTGCCCTCACACGCGTTTCACGCGGCGCCGCACGAGCATCGCCCCGTCGCAGGCGCTGCGTCGCCCCGTAAACCGTATTTATAGTGGGAATGCGAAGAAAACAGACACAAAGGCGTCCATTTTGCTCTCTGCCGAGCGAGCGGAAGTGGCGTAGTAGTAGGATATCGCTCAGGCCAAAGACGCAGATATTTACCGGCGGGGCGCTACGCGGCGCGTCGCGCGAGCAGCGGCCGAAGGTCGCGTTTACATGGATACGATTAGAGCGCGTTCGAGTCGTATCGTTCTGTGAATGAAAACGCGTGGAGATTATTCTTTCTATTGGTTGCGCGTTCATCAGAGAAAGCAATTTTTCGATTATTGTAAAATTCTTCGATACGATTGATTTTTGCTTTTGCTTCCTTATAAATCTAAACGTGTAAACTAGTCATAATGAAGAATTTTACAACAATTGCAAAGAGCAAAAGCTGATCGCTCGGCGAGCGATTTTGTCCGGCTTGATACGCGCCCAATGACACATCAATCTAATAATCATCACAGCCAATGGAAATATTGGACGCGCTGCGTCATTGCTCAACTTGGAACCTATGTATCGTTAATTTGCCAAAATCTTTGAGGTTTAAGCTGTGTAGAGCCAGAACGGAGTACGAGTAATGCAATTACTAATGAGAGCGAATTCATCGAATAATATCCATCAGTAACAAATCTACAAACTTCTCGAGACCTCATCAATAGTCACAAAAATTTGCCCAGGGCTTCCAGAAACGGTCGTCTTTCTCCGATATCTCCGATAACGGATTTTTCATCGTCGCTATCGAATTCGCATAACACTAAAAACACTTTGTTGTTTTAATCGAAGGATGCTTTCCATTTGAAGACACAAATCGACACAAGCGTCGTTCTATCCTTCTCGACATTCGGAGAGTGACAAAGATAGAACGACACTTGTGTCGACTTGTATCATCAAATGAAAAGCATCCTTCGATTAAAACAACGGATATCAATACTCGATTTAAATTGATATAAATTCGCGGCCGCGACAATCGGATCGTCGTTGCGATTTCTGCCGTATCGACGGATTATTAAATCCTGCGAATTTCCGGCTTCGCGGACGGATCAGTTCGTGGCGCGTCGCCGATAGATCGCGCCTCGCTCGCCGTTTCCGCGTCTCGCGGCGCTCCCGTAGGGCCCCCGTGTGCGTGCGTGAAAATAAAACCCCGGAGCCGAGTGGAAACTCCAAAATGGCGCGACTGCCAAGTGTAAACACCCAGTTTTGATGTCGGTGCAGAGTGTGGAAGTCATCATACGTTCGCGTCAATATTCTCTTGCGCCCCGCGCGCACCGTTTTTCCGTCGCATCGTGGCAACAGGAAATCCCGGCTGAATGTTCACGGTATCCTCGATCGCCCATTCTATTCCAGGTAAACCAGCCATGGGTTTTGTTACCGTTCGCCTCTACGTCCGCCCGCGTTTCCCGGTCGCCGCGGTCGGACCGATGTGTCGAAATCACAATCTGCTTACTTTCCGTGTGGAAAACTCGCAACGAGTCTCCGAAAAACGGAAAGGATCGCTTTCTTGTGATTTTTCTCCCTCGTTGCGCTCTTGCGTGCACACGCAATTTAGACGAGACTAGAGTAATCTAAATTGCTCCAGTTTGTCTTGCGGAGTGCAAGGGCAAGCCGTACAGTGAATTCCGTTCAATCAAACAATAGATAGTGCTCTATCGATTATCTTTGTATTAAGCATAATAAAATACATAAAAATCTAGCTACTATGGTTAGCGTTGTTTCACAATGACACAAATGCTGGCGGTAAGAGTTTGTTGAGAGGTAGTAAATATTAAAACTGCTGTGTGATGAGACAGAATCATTTTCTGATTCACAGTTTTAATTTTAAATATGAGAAAAGAAAGTAAAGTCTATTGTAGTATTTAATATATTGATCAATATTGATATGATCCTAGATAGCATTGAACATTTCAGAAATATTGCATCATTGCCATATGATTGCGATATTACTAGAACGTTCCATGCTACCTGCAGATCACCTATTCTGTAGCACTTAATGACCATATCGTTACATTATCGTTGTGCATAGCTTTCTTACCATGTAAAAAACTATTAAAATATGTGACAGTAACAATGTAACAACAGCCCAAACATGTCCAATCCTTGGTATTGGTTTTTGAACTCAATCATATTAAATCGTAATTCCTGAACTGTTATTAAACGTTTATTGCAAGATACGTATTTTGAAGTAATGTAAATTACGTTTAAAAAATATCCCATAGAATTAATTATAAATTTTATAGAACTTGAAACGGAGCAAGAAAATGAAAATCGAAATAAGATTTTTCTAATAGTCAGTTGAGTCGGTTCTATATCTAAATTCTGGAACATCTTTATATGAAATATTATAAGAAAATGTATTGTCATATTAATGTATGTTATTTTACATATAGGGAGTGACCCAAGCAAAATGGCACAGAAGCGCAGTGCTGTCCATATAGGGTGAGTCATAATACATATTCAACTTTGTACGAGATAATTTCTATCAACGTTCATTTCTACCAATATAGGTTAATTTTAATTTCAATTGAACTTATTTTTATTTCTTTCTAATTCTAGGAATTAGAAAAAAATAGAGAATAAGTTACACTGAGATTAAAATTTATCTAAATTAGTAGACATGAATAGGAATCACTCAAGTTTAAATTTACATTTAATCGACTTGTATTTAAATATATCTTCTCTCTCTCTCTCTCTCTCTCTCTCTCTCTTATTATTAAATATTATATGCTACCTGTGGAATGTGAAAACTTTGCTTTGATATATTTTTATAAACAAAGACTTTTCTACTAATGTAGATTAATTTTAATCTAAAAATTTCTGTTTTTAGCGAAAAAATTATGCGTAAAAATGTTTTTTCTTGAAATTTTTATTTGACACCTTTTTAATTATAGAAAAAGAGTAAGTTGAACCGAGATTGAAGTTAATTTACATTGGAGGAAATAAGCATTAATAATATATATAGAAAGAAATTAAATAAAAATGTTAAGGAAACATATTTTTACGCATAACATTACTTTAATCTCTGTTCAACTTACTCTTCATCTTTTCCTAGTTTTATGGATTAGAAAAAGATGAAGAGTAAATTGAACCGAGACTTAAAGTTAATCTACATTAGTGAAGAAACGCGTGGTATTAAATAAATATTTGAAGAAAAAGTAGTTTTACATGACGTATTGCTGAAAATAGTAGAAATTTTTATCTGAATGCGTTTATACGCGTTTGCATTTTTCGTATCGAGCCTTCGGGTATCACGCAGGGGAAATGAGAGAAAAGATCGTCTGGAAAGACGTTTGCTGACGAAAATAGCCGCTTCGGCGTTAACGATCGCGGTGAAATTTTCACCGTGCATGTAACTGCACGGCGAACTTGGTGTCGCGCGCTTGATTGACGCAGTTCCAAGAAATGATGCAGCGTCGGGATCAGTTACGGCGTTCGCCACACATAATGCGGTAGGCAATTCTCCGCTACCCCGGCTTACAATGCTGCTGCTCGGCCAATATGCGCCGCGGCGAGAGCGGGGCCCGCGTTGCGACATCGTTCAAGAAAACGCTTCGTTATCGTAAGCGCCGCGTTACTTTTACTGGCGCGCACGAGTCTCTTTCTCGAAAATACTTTTCTGCCGCACGGCTTCGGCACGCGAAGCAGGCGCAAATGTCAACCGCCGTTGTATCAACACAACACTCCCGCGACCCTCTTATATCGCCGTGAATTTCCGATCTACCGGACCCTGCCAACAGATCCTTTCGGCGCGATAAGACACCGAATACGTAAGCTCTGCTTTCTGTTACCATTCCCATTCATTCGGATATATATACTCTCTAAATATTAATTCTAAAAACTTTTAGAATGAATCTCACACTCAAGAGCAATATCTCACTCTTAAAGATTGAGAATTGACTTTTTTTTTAGACAGATTCAATTTTTATTCTTTAGAATGAGATTTTACTTCAAAGAATTTAGAGAATTCGTTTTTATCAATTTCCATTTTTATATACTATATTACTTGCTAACTAATTGTTCATATTTTTACAATGTTGAGTTTACAAATGGCTGGTAATTTCCGGTGAGTTTAAAATAATCGAAAAAATTTCAAAGAAACTCCGGATATTTATTTTTGCTCTTGCACTAAATCTAAAGCAAACTCCTGAGATGTTAACTCTCTAAATCTTTTGGAATAAAATCTCATTCCAAAAGACTAAAAAATTGAGCCAATCTTGAAAAAAAAATATTTTTACTTTTGAACAAGAGTGATAGATTTTCATTCTTAGGAGTGAGATTTCATTCCTTTGAAGTGAATCTCACTCCAAAAAAGTGAAAAGTTTTCACTCTTTTTTTTCAGGACTGGCCAATTTTCATTCCAAAAAATTTAGAGAGAAGATTTGGTTCTCCAATTGTCTTCATCAATAAAAAATAGTATATATACAATAATAAGAAATCTAATATATACAATAATAAGAAATCTAATATTTTTTACTTCAGTAAGTAAATCGATCCGAAATCAATTGACTCGAAGATGTCCCCATTAACTCGTTTAATCAGAAACCAAAGAGTCATTAATCGATTTTAGATCAGTTCAAATTCACTACAGAAAACAATACAGATACATGTTAACACGTTCTGTGCCGGGTCAATTTTAAGTGACTTAACTATCATACTGCGTGACGCGGATCTCTGGTGATCCACGATATTTTTGTTTGCATTTGTTGTATTTTTTAAATATAACTAATCATTTCAGTAATTTAAAAAAATTACAAAAATTACTATTATAAAGCAAAAGTAATGTAGCAAAATTGTATCATGCAATATTGATATGATGTAGTTAATTATTTATTCACATACAATATTAAAAGTTATCTTTAATATTATTAAAGATAATTACGTTTTTTTTTATGATCAAAATATCAAACGGCCTGAACGGAAAGTTCAACGTGGGTCACCGTTATCCGCGTCACGTGTTAATATGCGTAATTTTTGTCATGAAATCAATATGAAAAGGTAAAAAAAGTCAAGTCAATGTTCGGAAATAAGATCTCTCGAATTAATCTTGAAAAGGAATTTCCCAAAACGTCGTATCCTATCGCGAGCATACGAGCGAGCAAGCGAGCGGCGGCGATACATCCCAGTTAAAAGTCGTGGCTTCGCAACGGTGGCTGTCCCGAGTTCTCTGGTGGGAGAAGTGATAGTCCTCACCGGGGTATACCGCAGCAGCACATTATGCGGCTATGGTGGAATCAGTCACTAGCGAGTTGTGGGTGGTGGCTAGTCGGCGACCCATCCGTCCGTCCGTCCGTCCATATATCCGTACGTGCGTCCGTGAAACGTGTTTCCGCATTGCTTTACCTGCGATCGTCATCGATTGTGATCGAGACCGCGCAACGCGACGATCGCCGACGCGTCATTATTCGAGAGTGCGTCGCAAGAATTTTGGCGCCGAAAATTGGACGCCCAACCGTGTGTATCATCAAACGTTCTTTCATTTGGTTCTCAATGAATTAAAACTACTATTTTTTGAAGAAAAAAAAATCGATCTTGATCAATCGTGAGATTTTAGCTGGAAAAATTTGAAAATCACATATAAATATGGCAACTATTTTGATATTGAAAATTAAATATATGGAATTTATCATATTAAATATGAAAAATATCAAGTCTAATTGAAAAGGAATGATTCAATTATCACTGAATTACGAGGATTTTTTCCAAAAAAAGTTTGGCTTTTATGAACTTTGCATTAGACACTGAACTTTTGGACGAAGGGAAAAAACACATCTGTGTCACGATTTTATTGTAATTAAATTCATTAAAGATTTTAAAGAGAAGGGACTCATTCTTTACAGTTAATCACGATGTTGCTGAGGAATTTTGTAGCGCAATTTTACGCGGGAATTTGACGCATCCGTGATTTGCGTGCGTTTCTTGTTACGCGAGCTCAGCCGAGTTGATCTCGAACGAGCGAAGAGTTCATTTTACGATGAAATAAATTTAACATAGGATTTGAATTTTCGACGTTGATTGCAAAAGATAAACGCAGATCAATAATCATCGTTCGCCATGTAATTTCCGATACAATAACGATTTGAGTACGATTAGGTTCTCCACGATCAACTAGGATTACATTCTGAATATACGACTTTAAAGAAAATAAAACAGAGATTGATAAAATCTTCTTGAAGAATAAAAGCTTAGGACGCATCTCCTGTAAGACAGGAGACGAGATCTAGCTTTGATCACGTAGGAAATTGCTCTACAGTCATTTCGTTTGGAGATAAGCTAATTTGCTACGCTTAACTCGCCGTGCGATCAATCGAATGGCTTTGAATTCTTCGGGATAAGTGATCGCGACGCGTACGAACCGCTTCAGCGATATGGCCGTCGCTCTGAGAAAACCGCGAGGCGAGAGAAAGATTAGTACGATTGTCTTGTGGATCATACGCTGCAGTGCGACGAAAGGAGCGTGCAAAATTCGGCGCGAGTGCAACGACGGTCCGACAAGGTCAAGAATCTCGTGACGTCCTCGGATTAGCGATCAATTCCTGGCCGGGGAGATTGGAAGATTTTTCTCCGGGATCGTGTTTCTAGAAGAGCAGAAAAGAAACAAACAATAGTTAATAGAGCGTAGGCGGGCAAGCTTGTTATTGGCAAGCGAATAGACTTCACCTCGTGAAAGTGGCCGGATTTGACGCTTTCGAAAACCGAAATCATCAGAGGTGTATTTTCGTAACGAGCTTCTTTTGCTTCTTCGTACTTTCTTTCTTGGTCGATTAATCAAGCCATCGCGTCGACTAGGAATACAAGGAATTTAGAGAGAAGCGACTCTTATTCGAATTCCGGCGAAATCCAGCGTGCAGGAAAGAAGGTCGCTCGTTTGCAACAGTAATAGCACATCCTCATGCGCTAACTTCGACAATTCGCTCTGATATATGAATGGAGTTGATAAAAGTAACGGATGTAAAATTGGAATTCGTATGTCGAGAAAAGTGTGAGAACTTCTCAGTCGTAGATAAACGATTCCGGGAAATGTAGGGGCAATTCCAGATAAAACAGTCGTTGTTGCTTATCTGTAGCTTCTTTACAAGATTGTCACACAATTCGTAGACCAAACATACAGTGTTGTAATAACATTCTTGAATGATTAATCTTTAATAAAAAATTCTACTCGCAAGAGTTTATATGTTATCGATAGAGACATTTCTTTCGTCACTATGTTAGAATAACTTTCTGAGGAATTCAGATAACATAAGCAAATATAAAATGATTAAAGTATAAATTACTATTCAAATATACCATCGCGCTCTTTCAAGATCAGTGAAGAAGTACACGAGCGAACGTGAGTAGAATTTAGATACAAAGGCCTTCGAAACTGAAGTATCCCTGACTAACGCTGAAGAGGGAAACGCGAAGTATAAAACTGCTTCGTTGGTAGACCGATGGTAGATCTACATCTTGCTCCAGGTAAAGAGATGACAAGATAATTCGGTGGAAGGCGAGCGCATAGTCGAGCGAGTTTCTGTATCAGGAACCTCAAAATCGTGCACTCGAGCTATTAAACCGTCAAGATATTTTTTTTTTATTTCGCAATGATTGAAACACAAAATGACGAGATGCGATAAAAGAAATGAGAGCGAAAACCACCACGTTTTATCATTGATTTCTTCCTGCGATCAGGACTACAATGCATTTAGCGCGTATTTCGTCCACATTCGAAGATTATATAATGAACTAATAACAAAAAGAAAGTACGGATATGGATACTATGCGAAAGCTGTGAATGAAAATAATTTGTGTGAATGAATTATCTACTACAATAATATAATTTATTGTGCAATAAATTTTTGAGATCTCTAACAGAAGTGTATAAAATTATAAATTTCATTAAATGTGCAAAAGCGGATTGGGACGAACAATTTTGGTGCGATAAGACGAGACAAGTCGTAATTTAAGAATATGATTAACACGCTTGATTAAGTTGATAATGGACGCAAGTGTATGAGTATTTGTGTGAGAAGATACAAGAGTGCATCGGTGAATAATCTTGAGACAATAGGATGACAAGTTGGTAATTTAAGCGCGGCTCGGTAACGATACAAGGAGGGTGCAACGACGATCTCCGTAAAACTGCGACAGTGTGTCTTGCGACAGCGATATGATGAGTTAACTGGGTGCAGACTCCTCCTCGAGAGTGACGCGCTTTATTCCGGTAATCGAGTTGACTGGCCGGAAATACCGCCAAAATAGAGTATCCCGGTAGCAGCGGCATGTACGGGGGCGGGTCGGCGGGAAGCGCAGGCTACGGGGTTGGTCTGGGACCGGGCCCTTCGCACTACGCGCCCCCCTCCGCCACGGTGGGCTACCAGTTGGGCCCACCACCGCCACCCCCGCCCGCCTGTCCCGTCACCGCAGGAAGTCAACTTCTGTCTTACGGGCCCGACTTATCGCCCCATCACATCCAGCAGACCCACACGGAGACGCAGTCGAAAAGACGGAGGTAAAAAGAGACTATTACTTCAGCCTTGCAAAGTGTGTTATTTTTGTGTATTTTTTTCTCCCTTTCTTTAGAAAGCACGTACATTTATATGCGCGCGTAATATGTAATTCTTCAGTTTACATGTTCCCTCGTTTATCTGTAAAAATATATACTGGGATTGGACGGATTATTATTCACATTGTTTATCTTTTTAAACCGTTCAAACGTGCTTTATACGCAAACATATGATATAAAAATATTTTTTACGGCGTAGTTATCGACTTGATAATTTTCATGACCTTTATCTATATCGTACTTTGCGCGAATTTCGATTGCGGCGATATTTTCGTAAATATGCAGATTTTAAAGCGTACAAACTCTTTGCTGTCTTAACATCTCATACACCTTTAATTAGCGCTCGCCACATTGCAATTCAGTCGAGTCATTCTGACGTGGTGCCAACAATTCGCAGAATGTACTTGTTTCGCGATTACACAGAAAAAAAAGGAAAAAAGAGAGAGCAGCGCACAAATTATTTTTGAATTTAAATAGCTCGATTATCGATAAATTTTGGCATAAATAGGAAAAAGTATTGTACATATCGAATAGTTGACAAATTTTGAAAACAGATTTTTTAATAATCTTCAATAATATTATTATCGATTAAGTACTGAAATTATAAAATTTCTGAAACAAAAAATAAAGATTATAAGAATTAAATAAAATAATTAATTTGAATGAAAACTTTGCTGTAATCAGTATCATGTTTTTATTCGGTCTACAAATAGGTATTGTGTTTGTATAAGAGTTAATTCGATAAGGAAATACAATCCGTCAAAAGCAAAATGTCACTGCTGACAGAAATGTTAAAAATGTAAGTACAGCTTTACGTTGCGTAATTTCCATACCCGTCATCGTCGTGTATTATTGTTGGTCTTTATATGGAATGTTATTGCAGAATCAGCAAGTTTTCATCCGTATCAGCACGTCGACAGACAGCTCGCGTAACGATTTTGTTTTTCGCTGCAACTAACTGGCTGAGTTTCAATGCACTCAACAATGGAAAAAGTTCGACATATAATAATTTCTATGCGCGTACAATTACTGATTACAGTATCTTTCTCATTTTTTCTTAATTTTATCTCTTATTCCTTTTCATCGTTTTCAGATAAGACTTAATTGTTCTAAACATTTTTCCAAGCCAGTTACATTTTCCTCCGTATTCCATTCGTAACTTTCCATTCGCATATTTTCCATTTAGACTCGTTCGCGTTTCAGCATTTCTACGATCGGGGGTGAAAGGTTGATCTGTCGAAAATAGCAGCCGGTTCTGTTCAGGGGTGAACGAGTACGAAGGGGAGCGTCTCTCCCTTTTCTCTCGTTCAGCCATTATATGACTCCGACACACTTTCAACGAATCCGACACAGTCACGCGTCATTGATCCTGGCTTCGTCTCTTAACAGTCGGACGTACGCGTGTCACGACATTCCTGCCGTTCCGTTAGCAGCTTTAGGCCGCATTATATTGCTGTCCGATTAGTTCGATCTCACAGCGACGATTCGCGCGAACTCGAGGATCCGTGGCACGGATGTTTACTCACTTGTTGCTCTCTCTCCAGGGAGGTGTGCGGTTGAAGTGAGAATTTTCAATGGATTCATACCTCGTCCTGACGCTCGATCCGAATTATCTTATTAGATACCGAATCAGCGTTGAATTTTTTCTTAAAAAACGTAACGTAAGGATTCGTGAAGGGTCGAAAGAAAACGCGAAAGTAAACGCTTTTGGTAGACTTTGCTGTACAAATGATTCTTATTTTAGAATTAACTGTTAAATTATCACTTAACTTGATATTCCGAAGAATATGTTTATTAGGTACATAAATATTCTTTTTTTTTTATACTATTGCGAATTTTTCGGAATTTTAACGAAAGATGATACGTACGTGCTCCTTTTTTTAGCTTCTTAGTATTTATATTTTCCAACGATAAAAAACGTTGTATAGTAAGATAATACAATGCGATCTCCTTGATGCAAGCTTGAACTGCATTTTTAATCGAATTTGCATCGCTCGTTTCTTGCAGTGTACTCCGCACATAAAGATTGACACGTGTATCTTGTATAAAAAAAACTTTTCGCGCGCAGCCTTGAAAGAAGCGATACTTGGGTACAGTCATCGAAACAACGATAACAATAATCTCTCGGAACCATAACGAAACTCGTGGCGAGACGATATTATGAGAAGGATACTCATAATTATAGTCCTAGGCACGTGCGACGCGATAAGCCCAGATATCTAAAAATATATATTAACAAAAATGTCGTCGCGCGATAGGCGCGAATTTTATCGATAATTGCGATGGACGCTTTATAATGTGACCGATAGATTTTATTGATAGATAAAACAAGATTAATTAGCGAGATTAAAAACTTCGTCTATATTAAAGGCTACATAGACGCTTTGCTGGAGAGTGGTAGCAGGAGTTTTTACGATGCAAATGTAATCCAAATAGCATTCGCATAATTGGAACGTATGTTAAAATGATTACTGCGCACAATTAACATCGAACAGCAACGGAGGGGGCGTGCATTTGATATGTGCATCCTTGCACGCACACGCTAATGCAAAACAAAGTACGTTTACGGGCGGCTCTGAATCTGCAACCGTGAAGGACAAATGCGAGCTCGGCTTTAAATAAAAATATTATTAAAATTACACATTAAAAGCTAATTTGAAAACAATGAATAAATGAAACGAAATATGTCTCTTTCTGTTGATGTCTTATTGTTAATAATTGATGTGTGTATGTCAAACGATATATATACTTTAAAAAATATCAGTGTGAATTGAACACCTCTGGTGTGAATTTAACACCCAATCGGTGTCTATATAATTCTCATTGTGTTAATATTAACATCAACATGATGTGAATTTCAAACCTCTGGTGCTTATATCATGGTGTGGATTTAAAACTCGTGGTGTTAAATCCATCTTATTTGTGTCAATTTTAACACCAACACTGTGAGAACCATATAAGACACCGCTATTTTTTAGAGTGTATTTTCAAGTGTGTTCTATTAAATTTAAATATAGATTTTTAAATTAAAATAATATAGAAAGGTTTTTCCGTTATTTACCGATTAAAAAAAAAATCGCTCTTTATACTGTATATATTTGCAGCAATATCCTTATCATATTTTCTAAAACTCCATTGAAAATAATGATCGTCAATAAAGAAGAATCTCTGATGAGTATAATTAAAAACCGGTATGCGTGTAATTTTTTTCGATCGAGCGCTGCTGCCGCTGTTGTTACAAAAGCGAAAGAAGTCTCGCGATGGGCGGCGCGCAACTTTACTTCCTCGAACGCTAATGAGGTGTTACGCAGTAGCGCATTGCTGCGCGTTCGATTCGCTCATCCTCGTACGGGCCCGAGGTGCGACGCACTGTGTGCCACAGGGGCAAACAAACTGCCGTCGATCGCTGAAGCGCGCGAACTAATGCGAAGAGCTTAGCGCCGCGCGTGCGGATGGTGCACTCACGTGCAGACGCAGGCACGCGGCAAAACCCGCTCGCAGCGGAATTCGTCACGTAGCGGAGATTTGCGGCCGGCCCGGTCCAACGCAAATCCACGTGACCGATTACCAGATCATTACGTTACGCAATAACGTCGTTTCCTGAATCCCGCCGCCTTTGCGCCTGCAGACTCAGCAAGTTGGCGAATTCCATTGTGCGCAAAAAAAAAAAAAAAAAAAAAAAGAACGCGCGCCAAATTCTATATATCTGTGTGGATAATTCAGGATAATTCAGAAAGAGTCATTTAAAAAATTAGGGAAGATTAAAAAGAGAAACGTCGTTAGGGAAATGTGTTAGACTCTCTCGTGTATGCTTTATTATATTTTTTGAAACTTTGACATTTAATTTGAAAAATTGAATGTGTTGTGAAAAGAATCCTGATTAAATTTCGTTCAATTTTTAGTTAACAAAAATAACTAATCGAACTATAATTATTCGAATGATTAGTGACGTCAGTGCGATTGAGTGAGGGATAAGTAAGCATACAATTATTCGCCTGTGATTATCGGCGTTACATTCGTCCTCATGCGAACATATTTTTCCGCAAGCTTCTGCCGTGAGAGTCGTTGAACCGGATGGCTTGACGCCGAGGAAAGTGTGTTTCGAGATTGAAGCGCATGTATTATTTTCATTCATAATTAAGACCCTGTTAGTAACGCTCCGTAAGCGCGGAACAGCCCGTGATGCATATTTATGTCATACACGATCGACATGCATCTGGACGCACCGTGCGCACATAAAGGAACTGTTGAATGAATCTTTGCCAGAAAAAAAAAACAAACTGAGGGCAAGAAGTTGGAATTCTTTGCTTTTCACTATCGAAATTATTGTAACAGAAATGAATTAACATTCAATAATTTGTAAATTTGTCTAGTTTTCTTAATAGATATAAATTGAAAACATAATATAATTAGATATAAAATAAAACTTGGAACTCTTTTCTTTTTTTAAAAATCACAATAACGCTTAAATTATAAACGCAGTAAATAAAGAAACAGATAGCCACACGTAGGATTTCAATAGCGAAAGTCATATATGTAAAACATGCCTAATTGTTAAAATGTAAATTTATAAACGCAGCCAGCTTCAGTATGTAAAATATATAAATATAAAAAGTAATCAAATAACAGGAACGATAAATCAATCGTGTTACAATTATCAATCACGATTTGTTATAATATAATTCTTAGATTATGGACAAAATTAGAATTATTATGTAGTCAAATCCACAGTTTGTAGTTGTCAATGATAATACAATATGTTGATGTAAGATGTAAAATTTGTAAGAAACTCGGAATTATAATCAAAAGATCCACAAATTAATTCGGCAAAATGAAAATGTTTCTCAAAATCTAATTTAATTTAATCTAATTTAATCTTCTTTATATTAGGTCAATATGTTAACAATCATGTGATCACAGAATTTCTTTTCTTTCTCTTATATTAT